AAGGCAGAGATCAGGAGGATCACAGTTTGAAGCCAGTCAGGGCAAATAGTTTGTAAGACACTATATCAAAAATAGCCAGTACAAAAAAGGGCTAGCAGAGTTGCCTGTCTAGCAAGCGTGAGACTCTGACAGTTCAAACCCCAGTCCCAGTACCATTAAAATAAAAAAGGACTGGAGGAGTGGCTTAAGCAGTAGAGCATCTGCTTTGCGAGACCCTGCTTTGCAAGTACAAAGCCCTGAGTTCAAACTGCAGATCTACTAAAACAAAAACCAAAAACTGAAAGTCTCCTCAATGTCTACTTAAGCAGCCCAGCATGGTGGTACACGTCTGTAATCTGAACACCCGTGAAGCTAAGGCAGGAGGATGGGGAGTTTGAGGCTAGCATAGGCTACCTAGTGAATTTGAGGCCAGATTTTGTCTCAAAAACCATGGGCTATAGGCATGGCTCAAGTGGTAGAGTTCCTGCCTAGCAAGTACTAAAGCCCTGAGTTCAAATCCCAGTACATGAAAAACAAAACCAAAACTACTAAATCTCCTGAAGCAGAAAGCCATTCTCTAGAAAACCACTATCTCTCTAAATACATAAAAAGACCTTCTCCTGCCCTCTGAAACATTCACACCAAGGCTCCCTAACAAGGACTTAATAAAAAGGTAGAGAAGTGAAACCAAAACTAACCACAAAAGGCTACTAGATGTGTTCAGAAGCTGTGTAGGGGACATACATGTGTGACATTCCTTAAAATGTTAAGAGGGCAAGAAGCATTAACTATGTTCTAAAGTGCATAGCTCTATTGTGGAGCCTTAGCAAAGACCAAGCCAAATAAGAATGCTTCTACTTAGTATTTGTCAGGCAGGCGTTTGAAAACCACACTAATAAAAGACCCCAGTCAGATACACTATTTTGTTGTTTATAGATGAGAAACAGGGCTCCTAATAAACGTCAGGATTTTTTGTTGTTCTTACTGTTGTTGTTTTGTTTTGCTTTGTTTTGTTTTTGTGTTTTTGTTTGAAGACAAGGTCTCACTATGTAGCTCAGGTTGGCCTTGAACTCAAGTTCTCTCTACCTCAGCCTGATGACTGTTGGCATTACTAGCCTGAACTACCACTTCCTTCTGGCTTAAACATAAGTTAAATGAGGACATTAAAAGCCCATTCTGCTACATTCAGCCTCGTAAGCCTTCTCTTGCCTATTATTTGACAGGTTAATCCTCACTTCCACCCTGTAGGGAACTTTTATCCACCCATTCTAAAGAAGCAAACAGGAGGCTTAGGAAAGGCAAGCCTCAGGCTGCTCTCCCATGTCATCTACCAACTAAATTTTGTCTTGGGGAGAGGCAAGGCAATTTCTTCCCCTCCAATATATCCCAACAATGAGCAAAGTGAGAAGGACATGGTTTTGTTGTTTTGGTGGACTGAGATTCAACACTTGCAGAGCAGGTGCTCCACCAGTTGAGCCCCACCTCTAATCCATTTTGGTCTGGTTATTTGGAGATGGAGGGTTCCCTGGGCTGTCCTCAATCTGTGATCCTCCTGATCTCAGCCTCCCAAGCAGCTAGGATTACAGGCATGAGCCATCAGTGCCCAGCTATGGACATGGATTTTAAAGCCAGCTACAAGGAAACTGAACTCACATCTCACAGTCACTTACCAGGCAGGCCACTAAGCTTAGTCCCCAAACACCCTATTGCCCAGCAAAGTCTATCCTGTTCAGGAGTTAAAGCCTTTGCACATTCTGGACCAGGTCCTGTTCAGAATCCTTAGACCACTTTTTAGGACAGGGTAAAAAATAACCACAACTTCCCTTGCACTTGGTTCCTCCCCAAAGGGCTGTTGAACCTCATCTGGAAACAGCTGGGAGGCAGCAGTTAACAGGAAACCAAACCAAAAAAAAAAAAAAAAAAAAAAGCACAGAGTGTACCAGAGAGGTTTAGGAGTAGAACCAAGCAGCCAGGGGACAGCCAGGAAGCTGAAGTTAGAAAAGACCTAGGCTAGAAACAGTCACACAGAAGAGGAGACCCAGCTGGCCCTCCTCTTGGCCCAAGTAGGAGAAACCTGGGCAAGCAGTGGTGGAGGCTCTGACCCACTGAACAGGAAGTCAGAATAGCTCTGATGCTGTGTCCTTTCCTCCCCACCCCCACTGAACCTTACTTCTCTGAAACCCAGGTGGTGGTCACCACAGGAGAGCTAAGATCAAACATCCACTTTTTTCTAGCTTTTCTATCAATCTGTACTAACAGACCACACTGCCAACTAAACTCCGGGAAGGTCAAGTTAGCCTCACATAGAGACAAAGAGCATCTCCATGAGAAATTACTGGCAGACTCAATCTAGGGACCTTTGGTGGTAAACATAAGGCAGAAGGAGACCATAGGCACAAGGAATGGCAATAAAGCAAGCCAGCCAATGGACCTGGAAATCCTGAAGAGCAAGGCAAACTTCTTGCACCACCAAGCTAGTGGTGTGTTTTGTAATCATGAAAGTTATTTGAAGCCAGGTAGCCAGTGGCCTGTAATCCTAGCTACGTGGGAGGCTGAGATACAGAGGATCCCAGTTCAAGGCTAATGCAGGCAAATAGTTTGAGACCCTGATTCCAAAATAACCAGAGCAAAATGGACTGGAGGTGTGGTTCAAGTGGTAGAGCACCTGAGCACCTACTGTGCAAACACAAAGTCCTGATTTCAAATCCCAGTCCCACACACACAAGAAAAAGTTGAAATGAAACCCCTTTGTACAATTAATATATGCTTAAAAAACTGAGCAATGACAATTGCCAAAATGTTTTTGAAAGACATGGTAAAAAAATTACTGAACTTTTTTGATGTTATTTAATAAGCTTTTAGGTTATCCAAACAGAGGGCAAAGAGGAGGCTGGCTTCTTTTCCCTTTCGCAGAGTTTACTTAGGGGAGACCTTTCTAGCCCATTCCTCCTCTGACTTGAGCACTGTTCTCTCCTGGTACACATACAAATTTATATTAAAGTGAGAGAACATTAAGTTCTCTTAATAAAATACATTCCCGTCTTTCACCTCCAGTTTTATTTGAAAAGGTTCCCTCAAAGCACAGCTTATTCTGAAATCTAGTTGGGTTTAATTCTAATGGAAGTGCTCAAAATTTGAGACTGAAGGGCGTGCAGGGCTGCAACCTCAATGTCATTTGTTTGTTTAAAAGCAGAACATCTTTATAGGCTCAGTGCCAGCTCAAACTGGCAAGACCTGAGATCAGAGCAGACTCACCAATATGCCACGTAAGGGCGACAGAAGAAAGAGCTGTGCTCCAGGAGTAAGTCATCAGGGAAACCTTCACAAGAGGAAAAGGGGGTGAGGGGTGCATTTCAGGAACATAACAAAGGAGCAAGTCAATTAATCATTTCTTCCAAAGGGGGAAGATGCCATCCAGAGCCGAATATCTGGTATTTTAACTACCAGATAGTTTCATTGTTTTGTTTTATGCTTTTTTGTATTTTTTGAGGTGCTGATATTGAACCCAAGGCCTCACAACATGGTAGGCAAGTGCTCTAGCACTCAGTCACACCTCTGTCCTTGCATATTGTTCTAATTTGGATTATTCAGGGGACAATGAGGTGCAAGGGTTGCTTGAACCTATGGGTTTGAGACCAACCTAGGTAACGTAGCAACACCCTGTCAAAAAAAGAGGGGATGGGGATTTGGACAACATTCCTACTCTTCTACAGTTCTTTTTTGGTTCTGTACTGGGGTTTAAACTCAGGGCCTACACCTTGAGCCACTCCACCAGCCCTATTTTTGTGAAGGATTTTTTTTTTTTTTTTTGAGATAGGGTCTCACAGTTTGCCTGGGCTGGCTTCAAACCACTATCCTCCTGATCTCTGTCTCCTGAGTAGCTGTGATTACGGGTGTGAGCCATGGGCACCCAGCTCTTCTACATTTCTTTACACTGTTTCTGGACTTTCCTAGGAAACTTTCCTGTGCTGTGTGCAGAGCAGAGCTAAAACAGCCAGGGCACCGCAGTTACTAAATGCAAGAAGCCCAACCTCAATGGAAGCAGGGATTCCATCAGGAAGCCCTGCAAAACTGAGCTGTTAAGGCCACTCCAGCAAGTCCAAAGAAGTTCTGCGGTTGAGGAAGAAGAGTCACCTGAATCAAATGGCTAATAGACAACACAGTGGAAGGGCAAAAGAGCAGAAAGGCATTTTAACCCTTGAGGGCCAGGCATATCTGTGACTCTGCCCAGAGGCAAATCCACATGGCAGGATGGTGTCTGGGATGTCTGCCCTAGACACTGACATCTCCCTTGTATAGTGTTTCAGGGCCAGCCAGGAAACCCTCCAACTTGCCAGGAAAACAGACTGCACCTCCAACAGCTGTGGCTCCAAGTCTTAAAAGCACCGGGGACCGCCCCCCTACCGTTCCCCCGGGGCCTGCCAATAAACGAGTTGTGAGGGAGCCGGGTGTCCAGATACAGGGACAATTATGAACAGCAGCCAACGTTTATTAAGTACCTAACCGCAGCAGGCACTGGAAAAAGCAATTTACCTATGTCGTTCCATCCCCCACAATAGCTCCCTGGAGCAGCTAAAACTGTCACCCCCTCTTTTCAGAGGAGGAAACAGGCTCCAAGGTGTTAATCATTGGCCCCACCAAGGTTGGGTATTGCTGGAAACACACAAAGAGTTTGGAGGAAGGGGTCGACAGCGCTGAGCAACACAAGGTGCAGCCTGTACCTACACCTCTTTCTTGTCCAAGATCGGTGACCCCCCGGACATTGGATGGGAGGACCTCAACAGGCAACGTGAAGCCGGAAGAACCCAAGTCCTGCTGACAGAGGAAGAGCCCAGGATCGCCGTGCCTCTCAAATGCCGGGCACCCCATATCCATAAATCCTCCCAAATTAAGACCCAAAGGCAAAGCATGAAGTCACGAGGTTCCCAGGAGGCGCAGCCCCTCCACGCTCGTTTTGTCAAAGGGAGGCCAGGGTGGAGATGGGGCCCTGCCGGGTCCGTGGGGGCCGCCCGCTCCCCTACCTGTAGGCCAGGGTCATGCACTCGAAGAGCTTGGTGAGCGAGGCGTCGATGGACAGGTGGCAGGAGCTGGTCTTGCCGAAGCTGTAGGTCTGGCACGTCTGCTTGTTGACCGTGTCGAAATCGTAGCCCTTCTTGGGCGGGTGCTCTCGGTGCGGCGACGACACCATGAAGTGGCCACTGTGGATTATCTGCTGGCGGCGCGGAGGCTCCTCGCGGCCCGGCCCGGCCCGGGACGGCAACACCGTAGCATTCGCGTGGGCCCGGGCCGAGGTGGCCGAGCCGGAGGTGGGCGGTGGAGACGGTTCATCCGTGTCCGAGTCGTCGTCGTCCTCGGGCACCTGAGGCTTAAGCAGCACAGAGCGGACCCGGCTGCGGGGCCGACGAGGGGAGCACGTGAAGACGTCGGCGGCCATGAGGGCAGCCCGGCCGGGGGCATCCCCCGGAGTCCGGGACGACGCGAGGGACGCGAGGCTGAGGGGCGCCGGCCCGGCCCGGCCCTCGCGCGGACTGTCCGCCAGCGCGCCGCGGGGCGGGAGGGGGAGGGCGCCGGCCCCGGCCCCGGCGTGACGTCACCTAAGCGTCTCGACCAATCACATAGCCGCGTCGGCCTCTTAAAGGCGCAGGGGAACCTTTCCTTATCTAGGAGGACAAAAAAAAAAAGTCCAGAGGCCACACCTCCCTATCCCGCCTCTTGCTGTCCCCTCGGCTTGGCCAGGCCCAGGAGCCGCGGGACACAAGACGCCAAGCCGCGCCCCTCGCCGGTGTCTTGGCCAAGGGGAGGAGTCGGCCGGTTCCGTGCTGCTCGTCACGCCCCGCCCCGCACTGGGGGGAGTCGCCCCGCGGCCTCCCTGGGTGCCAGGCAGGCTCTCCACGTGGTGGGTGGGGGTGGGGCTCCTTTCCTTCCCCGCTGGCTTTCTCTGGGAGGGCCGAAAACTGAGTCCTCGAAGCAACTGCCAAGTTTGTAGACCGTTGAGGCTACTGTTCCCAAAATATTGATGCGAAGACTGGGTCGCCTAAAAGCTACGCAAGGGAATTTCCTTACGCGCAAGCAAGATCGGGAGCTCTCATCACATCCTTAGAGGTGGAAACTGGCTCGGCCAAATTAAGCCCGAGGGAATCACAGCTGTTGAGTGGCCAGTCCGACTGGAGCCCAGCTGTCTGCCTCCAGACCCTAGCTGCTACTTACAACTCCAAAAAGGAGTTGTCACTCGTTTTTGGTTTTTTTTATTTGTTTGTTTTGGGGGTTTGAACTCAGGACCCAGACTAATAGAGCAGCCACCATCTCAAATGGTGACCATCCCTGTGGTGACAGGAGAGTTCAGAGGGTCTGCAGGTGTCCCTTGAGCCACTCCACCAGCCCCTTTTTTTGTGTGTGATGGAATTTTTCCAGATAGTCTCGCGAACCTTTGCCTGGGCTGGCTTTGAACCGCAAACCTCCTGATCTCTGCCTTCTGAGTAGCTAGGATTACAGGTATGATAAACTGAGCCTGGTTAAAATACTGTCACTTTTGTTTTGAAGTTTAGTGGGCCAACCAGCCTCTAAATAATTCTAAACAAGAAACTTCTGAGCCAGAGACTGGTGGCTCAGATCTGTAATTCCAGCTACTTGGTAGGCTGAGATTGGAATGATTGCAGTTTGAGGTCACCCTAGGCAAAAAGTTCGGGAGACTCCATCTCCAAAATAACTAGAACAAAATGGACTGAAGTTGAGGCTCAAGCAGTAGAGCGCCTGATTTGCAAACATAAAGCCCTGAGTTCAAACTCCTGTCCTACCAAAAAATGAAGTTGTGGTGCTCTCCTGTAGTCCCAGATACTCAGGGATTCTGAGGTGCCAGGATCATTTGGGTCCAGGAGTTGAAGACCAACCTGGGCAACTTAATGAGACCACGCCTCCAAAAAAAAAACAAATGAAAAATTTTAAACAAAATAAAGATAATGCTTAGCAAGGTGCCTGACACAGAGTGAGGACTAAGTAAATACACAGCCAACTGAAGGAACTGAAGCAACCAGATTAGGGATGCCGAGAAATCTCCAATATTCAATCACTTTTTACCTACAAAAATAGCAATGTCAGTCAATCGGGTATGGCGGTGCATGCCTGTAATCACATCTACTCAGGAAACTGCGGCTGGAAGACCTGAGTTCCAGACCAGCCAGAGCAATTTAGTTTGATCTTGTCCTAAAAATAAAATTTAAAGAGGTCTGGAGAGCCCTGCATGATGGTACATGCCTGTAGTCCCACTACAGAGGAGGCTGAAGCAGGAGGATAGAGAATTTCAGGCCAGCCTGGACTACATAACAAGACTCCTATCTCAAAACACAAAAAGTCTGGGAATGTTGCTCAGTGGTAAAGTAGGCTTGAGGTCCTGGGTTCAATCCCCAGCAAGGAAACAAAAAGGTTATCCTAATGGTATGTGTCGGGCTGGCAGTGGCTCAAGCGATAAGAGAGCCTGCCTACCAAGCGTGAGGCCCTGAGTTCAAACCACAGTGCCGCCAAAAAAGATATGTGTACAAAGCATATCAGCATCATTTGTACCAAGGAACATTCGACACAATGTAACGGCTAACAGGAGGGAATCTGTTGAATATGGTACAGCCAGCAATATAATGGAACGTGACATTAAATGTTGTAAATGTATATGTAAATGTCCTTGATACAGCATTGGATGGAAAAATTACCACCCCCATTTTAAATGCAAGGAATCAAACCCAGGGCCTCCTACATGCTAGGCATGTTCTCATCTTCTGAGCTGCATCCCCCTCCCCAGGCTTAGTTATCCATTGGCTATATGTCCACTACAGGTGGGCAGTGGGCTTGGCTGGGCTTAGTCACTTACTCCAAGACCCAGACTAATACAGCAGCCACTATCTCAAATGGTGGCTATCCCTGTGGTGGAGAGGAGCATTCAGAGGGTCGGCAAGTGTCAATTAAATGGTCTGTGCCAGAATCAGAAGAGAGTTGTACTCATAACTCATTGGCCAGAACTAATCACCTAGCTCGCCCAACCGCAAGGGAGCCAGGAAATACGATCCTGTCTTGTGACTGAAAAATAGACGGTTGGAAATACTTGGTGAATGGCACTGAAGACGCTTATCTTTGGATTTCAAAGGTTCCCATAAAGTCAACACCACGGATGACTTTGGAAAGCATTACAGGAGGGGCACAGCATAATCCCAGCACTCAGGAAATGGAGGCAGGAGGATAGAGAATTCTAGGCCAGCCAAGGCTACAGAGTAAATTTGAGGCCAGCCATGGCTACATAGGGAGACCCTGCCAGTGGCATATGCCTGTAATCCTAGCTACTCAGGAGGAAAAGATCAGGAAGATCTCAGTTTGAAACCAGCCCAGGCAAACAGTTCACGAGAACCTATCTCAAAAAAACCCAACACAAAGGGGTAGCAGAGTGGTTCAAGTAGTAGAGCTCCTGCCTAGCAAGTTTGAAACCCTGAGTTCAAACCCCAGTACTGCTAAAAAAAAAGCCCAAACCAACCAAACAACAAGCAAAACCGTTATGCTATTCCAATGTGGTGGAACAGGCATGTAAACCAAGCACTGAGGAAGATAAGGCAGGAGGATGGAGAGTTCCAGGCCAACCTGGGCTGCAGAGCAAGTTTGAGGCCAGTTAAGGCTACATAGCAAGACCCTGACTCAAAAAAAAAAAAAAAGACACACTCAGTGGTAGAGCACTTGCCTTGATCCCCAGCACTGAAAAGATAAAATATACTAAAACTTAAAATTGAATTTTAAAAAACTGTGATTTAAATCGGCCCCAGATTCTGGCAGCCTGCCGTTTCCGCTTCAGGCCGGTGGCTGAAAGGTATTTGAAAATGTTATTACAATGCTGCAGGATTCAATAAACCGGGGTTAATGGGAGACAATACAATAAGTGAGGGTGAAGAGCCATAGAAGGCTTCCTGAAAACCTTTATAATGACAGGATGTTTCACAAGAGAACACTTGCCGGGTGCCTATGGCTTGAACCTGTAATCTTAGCTAGCCGGGGCAAATAGTTCATGAGACAGAATCCATCACAATAAAAGGGCGGTGGAGTGGCTCAAGTGGTATGGCACCAGCCTAGCAAGTGTGAGGCCCAGAGTTTAAACCCCAATACCACAAAAAAAAAAAGAAAAGAAAAGAAAGAAAGAAAGCACTGGACCTGACCACAAAGCATCAGATCTTGGCTAAAGAGCAGTGAACAAAATATAAGGAAAGTTATTTGGGAAAGAAAAAGAGAGGAAGAATGGACAAAGAAGCAATCATGTAATTGAAATCTGTGATTGCAGATGAACTTTAAAGTTTTTTGGTTTTTTTTTTTTTTTTTTTTGCGGTACCGGGGTTTGAACTCAGGACCTACACCCTGAGCCACTCCACCAGCCCTATTTTTGTGAAGGGTTTTTTGAGATAGGGTCTCACGAACTATTTGCCCAGGCTGGCTTCCAAATGAGATCCTCCTGATCTCTGCTTCCAGAATAGCTAGGATTACAGGCGTGAGCCACCAGCACCCGGTTTAAAAGTATTTTTATAAGTTGATCAAACCTAAAACATACAATCTAAGAATTATTTGGTCTGAAGACATATTACTTTTTATTTATTTATTTATTTATTTATTGTGGTTCTGGGGCTTGAACTCAGGGCATACACCTTGAGCCATCAGTCCTTTTTTGTGAAGGGTTTTTTGTTTTTTTCAAGATAGAGTCTCATAGACTTTTTGCCCAAGCTGGTTTTGAACCATAATCTCTGCCTCCTGAGTAGCTAGGATTACAGATGTGAGCCACTAGTACCCAGATACCTGAGGTTTCTAAAAGCATTTTAAATAAAGGTGATAAAGGCTGAGCCAGGCAGGAGGGGAAATAGGTTTGTGGACAAGATAGTGACAAATGGCTTTTATGAATCGGGGCTGGAAATGTAGCTCAGTGGTTGCGAGTGAACATAGTACTTCCAAAACTCTGGGTTCAATCCCCAACAACTACTCCCTCCAAAGAAAACATGTATAGGTTACTAGTCTTATAAATTGTTTCACAACTTGCTGTAAGTCAGCTTTCAAAGTTTAGATATTTTATTGGATCATACTTAAATTTTAGTCCCCTTTATCAGGTTTGCTAAGAGAAAATTATGGAGGCCATGATTGTGTGTGTGTGTGATGGGTTTTTTCAAGATAGGGTCTCAAGCACTATTTATGAGTCTCCTGATCTCTGCCTCCTGAGTTGCCAGAATTACAGGCGTGAGCCCCTCACCCAGTTGGAGGCCATCATTTTGGACTGAGGTCCTGCCCTGGGCCCAACAGACCAGATCAAAGTAGAACAGACTCACTTATACTAGGTACCAGGTAATCACACTTAACTCTCCTTTTCCTCCTCCTCTTCCTTCCCCTCCTCTCTACCTCTTTCTTTCCCAGCTCCTCCTCCTCTTCTTTTTTGGTGGGGGTAGGGGCAGGGTTGAGCTTAGGGCCTCAAACCCCTTGACCCTGCCCCCAGCCCTTTTGGCTTTAGTCTGTTTTTTTCAGTTAGGGTCTCACACTAACTGTGCCAGGC